AATTAACTTTGTATTGCTAGTAGCCTACCATCCATCAGTCATAGAAACATATGATTTGAGTGATAAACCCAGGATGATACTATCGCAGTGCTTACACATAAACTGAAATTACTTATTTACAGTTCCACATTGAAAGGACAATGAAGAGAAAACGCAATTGTTTTTGTTTGTTTTTTATTAAAAAATAAAATGTATATTAGCCTATATGCACACTAACCAGGCGCAATTTAGCATTTCATGTTGTTGTAAACTTTGATACTGAACTTAGGTAGAGAGTTCAAGGAGTACAACAGAATATTTAATTGCCGGATGCTCCGAAAAAAACACCATGGCAACCAGAAGGCGGGCTGGGAACTCTATTCAGTTTTTGCCATTTGGTATTATGCCAGCACGGCAAACAGAGAAGCTCCAAATTTCTCAGATCCTGATGCCTGTGGAGAAAATGTCGACACTTTTGCAAACTAGTACATGTGGGGGTTATTTTTTTAAAGAACTTTTCATTTTAGTAGCAAATTTGGAGTGTCACATGTTTGTCATTAGCTTTTTTATTCTTTTTTTTTTTCTTTTTTTAAGACAATAAGAGACAGTTTCCAGGAGACCAATAGTTAGTTCTTGACCAGTGTTGGGTGAGTTACTCAAAAAAATTTTTTTAAAGTTATTAATTAGCTACTAGCTAGTAATTACATCTTCAACTGAGTACTTAGACTACTGTACTAATTACTCTCTTTAAAAAGTATTGCATTACTTTACTCCCAAACTCTACTTTTTCAAGGGGAAAGTAATTCAATTACATACAATTGCTTGGTAATAATTTACACCCAACACTGTTTTTGGATAAGTTAAGAAGTTCTTCTTTAGGTTAAGTTCTTTACTAATGATCAGCATTATACAGTACAGTTATGTGTACAGTATGTGAAGTTCTTGATCAAAACAATGAGCAAAACCTCAACCTCACTGAAAAAAAGTAACCTTTTAATTTATTGTTTTAATTGAATTCGGAAGCAACTTTCTTTTTTTTTTCTTTTTTCTTTTTACTTGAACGTGTGATGTTTGTAGCCACAAAATCAGAGAGGCTCCTCCCCCAACATCTATTCAAAGGCAGTCACAGGAGACAGCTAAAACAGCTTTCTGTTTTTATTTAATCTCCTGAGGTGGATGTTAAAAACAAGTGTAAATGGACAAAACTGTTTTTTTTTTTCATTTGAAGAACTCCAATCCAAAAGAGTATCATCATTAAATCCCACCGGTCACAATAGTGACCGTAAAAAAATGTTTCATTTCTAAGGCTATAAAAATGTTACTGAATGATCTATCAATGCATTTCCAGCAGATATTGAAATAATAAAGGGTCTCAATGAAAATTATGTGCAGTGTCGCATGTTTACTGTAAATTGTCACATGACCAGAGCTGTTTATTTCCTGTTTGTGCCAAGAGAAGAGGATGGCAGCAAGAAAGCTCCCAAAGAAAAGATTAGTAAAGTATGTTAACATAAAGATAGGACTTAGATTTTTGGTACACATCATGTTTAAGGTGTCTAGTATTGATATATGCATTTGCAATTACTTAACTTTGTTTAATGTGGTCATAGAACTTACAAACATGTCACCGGCAACAATAGTGACCGGTGGGATAACCCATTGTATCTACATGCTAATACACATAGGCTAACTGTTCTACCTTACTTTCTTCTGCTACCTAACTTTCTACTTAATTTTACACACACACACACACACACACACACACACACACACACACACACACACACACACCCCACACACACACCGCACACCCCACACGCACACCACACCACAAACCCCACGCACACCACACCACAGACCCCACACACAAACCACACATTCCACACACACCACACACACACCAGACACCCCACACACTCACACAGCACACCCCACACGCAAGCACACCACAAACCCCACGCACACCACACAACAGACCCCACACACAAATCACACACACCACACATCCCACACACACGCACACCCCCACACACACACCCCACACACACACACCGCACACGCACGCACACCACAAACCCCACGCACACCACACCACAAACCACACACCCCACACACACACCACACACACCACACACACACCACAGACACACCACAGACACCCCACACACACACCGCACACGCACGCACACCACAAACCCCACGCACAACACACCACAGACCCCACACACCCCACACACAAACCACACACCCCACACACACACCACACATCCCACACACATGCACACCCCACACACACACACACCAGACACCCCACACGCACACACACCACAAACCCCACGCACACCACACCACACACCCCACACACAAACCACACACCCCACACACCCCACACACACACCACACATCCCACACATGCACACCCCACACACACACACACCAGACACCCCACACACACACACCACACACGCACGCACACCACAAACCCCACGCACACCACACCACAGACCCCACACACAAACCACACACCCCACACACACACCACACACCCCACACACACACCACACACATGCACACCCCACACGCACGCACACCACACCGCAGACCCCACACACCCCACACACAAACCACACACCCCCCACACACACCACACACATGCACACCCCACACACACACACACCAGACACCCCACACACACACACCGCACACGCACACACACCACAAACCCCATGCACACCACACCACAGACCCCACACACAAACCACACACCCCACACACACACCACACACCCCACACACACACCACACATCCCACACACATGCACACCCCACACGCACGCACACCACAAACCCCACGCACACCACACCACAGACCCCACACACAAACCACACACCCCACACACACACCACAGACCCCACACACCCCACACACACACCACACACACATGCACACCCCACACACGCACGCACACCACAAACCCCACAAACCCCACAAACCCCACACACCCCACACACAAACCACACACCCCACACACCCCACACATGCACACCCCACACACACACACACCAGACACCCCACACCCCACACACACACACACACCACAAACCCCATGCACACCACACCACAAACCCCATGCACACCACACCACAGACCCCACACACCCCACACCCCACACACACACACCAGACACCCCACACACCACACACCCAACACGCACGCACACCACAAACCCCACGCACACCACACCACACCACAGACCCCACACACCCCACACACACACCACACATCCCACACACATGCACACCCCACACACACCAGACACCCCACACACACACACCACAAACCCCACGCACACCACACCACAGACCCCACACACACACCACACCACAAACCCCACACACCCAACACGCACGCACACCACAAACCCCACGCACACCACACCACAGACCCCACACACAAACCACACACCACACATCCCACACACACACCACACACACACGCACACCCCCCACACACACACCAGACACCCCACACACAGACCCCACACACCCCACACACAAACCACACACCACACATCCCACACACACACCACACACACACGCACACCCCCCACACACACACCAGACACCCCACACACACACACCGCACACCCCACACACAAACCACACACCACACATCCCACACACACACCACACACACACGCACACCCCCCACACACACACCAGACACCCCACACCACAGACCCCACACACCCCACACACACACCACACATCCCACACACATGCACACCCCACACACACCAGACACCCCACACACACACACCGCACACACCACAAACCCCACGCACACCACACCACAGACCCCACACACACACCACACCACAAACCCCACACACCCAACACGCACGCACACCACAAACCCCACGCACACCACACCACAGACCCCACACACAAACCACACACCACACATCCCACACACACACCACACACACACGCACACCCCCCACACACACACCAGACACCCCACACACAGACCCCACACACCCCACACACAAACCACACACCACACATCCCACACACACACCACACACACACGCACACCCCCCACACACACACCAGACACCCCACACACACACACCGCACACACAAACCACACACCACACATCCCACACACACACCACACACACACGCACACCCCCCACACACACACCAGACACCCCACACACAGACCCCACACACCCCACACACAAACCACACACCACACATCCCACACACACACCACACACACACGCACACCCCCCACACACACACCAGACACCCCACACACACACCAGACACCCCACACACACACACCGCACACCCCACACGCACGCACACCACAAACCCCACGCACACCACCCCACACACCCCACACACACACACACACACACGCACGTACACCACACACCCCACACACACACACACAAACACACTGCACAGGTCCTATAGACCTATATTCAGTCTGTCCAATGGTTGATACAACACATTATCCCACCGGTCACAATTGTGACCGATCATAAAACTCACTTTTTCACACACTTTTCCAAGAAAATTAAAAAAAATTATGATTGATTGTTTCAAAGGGATGCTAATGACACATGATTTGGATATTTTTATGTCTGGGAAAAATTTGGGATTAAATGGGTTAAATACACCATACAAACTGCCACACCCACACGTGTAAATGCAATACATTTATTAATCAATCAAATCTCATTAATTAAACAATGACATCTTTGCATTAAAAAAAAGAGAATTCTGCATGTAAAAACTGCACCAGAGAATAAGCCAGCAAGCACTCTCAAGTGTTCATGTGAGATGCAAAAAGAAGAGACAGACAAAACACATTAACCAAAGACTGTGGGGGAGGCAATGACCTAGTTAGGGAGAAATGACTACATGAGAAGAACAGCACTGAACTCTAAGCAGTGTCTCCATCGTTTACGTATATGAGAAACTTAAAAAAAAATAGAACCGTGTTGTCTGTGGATACCACTACAGACAAATGTACAGATACCTCAAAAGAAAGTGAGTGTAAGGATAACATTTATTATTAAAGTCAAAGGCATTTACTGTTCAGATCTTGAATATTTATTAAACGTACTCTCGAAGTGCTATATCTGTCTGTAAGGACCTAACACATGTTTGTGTTTTAAATGAGAAAGGTCCTCAAAGATGCTGATTTGTTACAACACTTCAGTACTGTCAGTACAACAGAATCCAAACAGTCTCTGATCAGTTCAGAAAACAGGTTCATCATCCTGTGATGTTGTGTCAGGCTATGATGGATGTCTGATCATCCTACAGGTTTAGTGGTATAACAGGCCAGTACTTGGGCTGTTTTTTGTCACAGTTGCGATCAAATGTGAGCTGCATGGCTGTTTCCATCCCCTGAATTTTTGCTGCATCTTTACCATACAGCTTCTTCATTTCTGCGGTCCTCCTCTCTCCCGGACGCTCTGAAGGAGGCAGGCTGCTGCGCCAGGAAACTCTGTGTAAGTCTTGGTCAGCCAGTACATAAGAGTCCTGCTGCTCTGCCTCCATCTGCTGTTGTTTCTCTACATGGCAGAGAAAGAAGAATTGTCATGACTAGGAACTCCTGACATTAATTAATGTTTTGCTTTAGGATAGAGATTTTATACCAGACATCAAGGGGCAACCAAACTCAGTGCCAAAATCAAGTAAACAAAAACTCCCTGAAAATCAAACACTAAAACTTTTAAACAGGAATAATAATAATCATAATAGGAAATCCAGCAATTTTGGTTTCTAAATATCTCTTCAACTTTTATGATTTTGTGCTCAACTGCAAATAATTGTGGTGGGCACAAACCATGCTTATTTTAAGAGAACCCTTATTTAATGTGGTCTAGTTTGTGTGTTTATTTACCTTTTGTTGATCATTTCTGAGAATGAGGGTATGTCACAAAACATGTTGGAATCAACCTGGGTGAGTTCATCTCAATTGGTTATTTTTGTTTTTAAGTGATTACCTCTATTTACAACATTATTTTAAAGTGCCCCTATTATGGATTTTTGAAAATGATCTTTCATGTAGTGTGTAACAGCTGTAAGTGAATGAAAACATCCTGCAAAGTTTTAAATCTGAAAGTGCACCGTATATAAAGTTACTTTCTTTCAAAAGTAAGAGTCGACTGAGTCAATGAAATGAATCTTTTTTCAAACGAGTCATAAGCCGTTTCATTGTGACGTCAAGACGAAACATTAGCATATTGCACGTCCACTTATTGCGCGTGCAGACACCAGGGAAAACTTGAACCCCTTCAATTGATTCCAGATTCCTGTGGATACTGGACAGCATCATGTCGAGAAGACGCTGTGCCCTACAATGTGAAGGTAAAGCCAGTTTTTTTTTTTTTTTTTTTACTGCCCAAGGACAAGCATGTGAAGAATCAGTGGTTAAAATGAATCTTTACCACAATATCACAGCAGTATAATCCTAAACCTTTGCTGTTTTTCCTTTATTTTACTGACGACGACTTTCTAAAATCTCAAATCTTCTCAAAAAGTTCAATGCAGGATTCGCAAACCACTTGCTCTTGAAAGATGGTGTTCAAAATACTTGGTTTTGAGTTTGATATTGTGAAGGTCTCCTGCTAACTGGCTAACTCATGTTATCACTGTCTTAGGCCCCGTCCACACTACTGCGTTTTCGTTTAAAAACGGAGACCTTTTGCTACGTTTGCACCTCCCGTCCACACTAAAACGGCAAAAACGGAGACCTTTTGCTACGTTTGCACCTCCCGTCCACACTAAAACGGCAAAAACGGAGACCCAAAATGGAGAAGTTTAGAAACGCTGCCGACCCGTTTTTCGTTTTGAATCTCCGGAGGGCGTTTTAGTGTAGACGGGTCAAAACGGAGAACTTTAGAAACGATGACGTAGTAGAGGCTCACGCTCGGCTCTATGATTGGGTGTCATCAGTCATGGCGTATATCTTTGCTAGCAGCTGTTGTACAAGTAAATTCTGCATTTTACACTGCTATAACTGCCTACATGCGCCGGAGTCAAGCTATTATTCGAGCGATCTGTGACAATTCCCGTGTGCAGCGGCGGCGTTGACCGTACATGGAGCGTCGGTTTGGGGTTAACCCAGAGCATGGTGGGATAATTTTATCAATGAAGTTGTGTTTACACCGGCACGCGCATGCCCAGTGTTGGTGAAAGGTCACGTGATCCGCGTTTTCAGTCGTTTTAATGTGGACGGAGATCAATTCTAATACGCAGCTAAAACGCTGGTGTGGACGGAGATCGTATTCGTTTTAATTATCCGTTTCTAAACTAAAACGCAGTAGTGTGGATGGGGCCTTACTGTAATACTTCTGCTAATCAGTTGTGGGCCACTATTACCTAAAACTGTGTCTATTAATGCAGATTGTCCGTCGTTCTCACTACTTTGAGGAAAGATTAAGCATGGAGCAAGATTTGTTTTACCAACGTTTATGTTACATCAGTCATTCACGCTAGAGCTCGGCTAATGTATGCACTGTTATTGATACAGTTTCCACATGTTCACCGCAATAAATACTCAGTAAATAAACAAGTAACTTACAAGTAAAGTAATCAGTTTGTTGATGGACATGCACTTGTTAATGCTTATGGTGAGGAATTACAGTTGCATAATGTACCTCAAACTGAGTAGTGTATCACTAAGAAATGTCCTGCTCGAGTTGTCCTTGCGATGGAGGTTCGGGTTGAATAACTAGTTCTTCCAATGTTTCATCGCACTCGGATTGATATAGTAAAATCTACGTCATTGTTCGTTACTCTGTTTAGTTTACGGTGTAGGAACTAGTAAGCCTCAGGACAAGCAGAGCTGACGTTATGGCAATGGGCGTTTTTGTTTTCGACACGCGCGCTGTACGCGGTAAACCAATCACAACAGACTGAGCTGTCTGGCCAATCGGAGCAGAGTAGCTCGTGGAAAGGCGGGATTTAAAGAGATTGATTCATCTTACGAGTAGTTTGAGAATCATTGAAAATGTGGTGATGTGCAAATGTATTTTATGAGAAAATGAAACAGTTTTTTTTACCTTTGATGCATGTAAACCTATTGTAGGAGACTCCAAAACAACATTAGGAAACTTTAAAATAGCATAATAGGGGCACTTTAAGACTTATTAGGTCCCCCTTTGAAGTTTGCAGGCTTGTGGTCCCCAGCCTCCTGCTTGAATGGTTTCAGACCTCATTGATAAGCTATTATGCTCATTTCTCAAAACACATGAATAAAATATTATTTTATCAATAAATAAATAAGCACCAAAACTTCACCCACCAAAAATATATAGGTGAAAATGATTCTGATTCTATTACATTATGGTAAAAAATGTCCTGGAAATCAATTTAAGGGAGCTTTTAAAGCTTGCTTCAGGATACTTTTTTTTTTAAATCCCTCTTTCTTTCCAGACAAGTATTTTTTTTTAAATTGGACAAGTGAATGGCCGATTTGCTTACAAGCACATAACAACGATTAATGCCAAGCCCATGCAAAGATGGATACCGTGGTTATTCCAAATATAATCAAAAGTTTAAAGATTTTACAATACCAAAAACAAAGAAAATTAAAAATGGTCAAGCAACCTTGAGATGGATTGACCCACTTGAGATGGATTGGCTAGCTTCCACCAAGTAACATGAATTTGCAGCATAAATAAAAAATACTGTCCCATTTGATTGGATGATTGGAAGTTGAAAAGCCTATATATTTTGCCATTCAAATACACTATACGCAGTTGTTGTTTTATTATTTGTATTTAGCATTTAGAATCACTGTCATATGTTGTCAAACAAGCCAGTACTTTAAATATAAGATCACATACCATCAGGTCAGTATTTAACAATGAATAATCGCATTTTTTTTTTGCAATGAATCATTAGGGTGCATCTCTCCTTTAAGCAGGCTTAATGTGTAAAACAGATGGCAAGTGTACAGAGACTGCATGGCAGTGGGGACAATCTGGGATAATGAGCCTGGCTCCTCTCAAGCTCTCATCCATAAAATAATAATCTAAGCAAATTAAATTTGAGAAGAGAAGACTTTGGGTTGTCTGTATCTTCAGTCTGTTTTTCTAATATTTTTTGTACCTAACTCTGTCCTCATTCTCATTTCATATCGGTCTTGGTTTTTGTTCTGCAATTATATTATTTCTAATTTTTGTTTGTTTGCTTGCTTGGATTATGAATTTCTCTGTCTTTCACAGAGCTTTATGTTTTATATCTGGTTGTAGTTATCAAACACATTATTGTACGTTATATGACAAGGCTGAGTTACCACCTCTGGCTATGCGGAGAAGTTACTATTTTAGTCCATCTGTGGTATAACTCCTTATTTGTCACTCAGCTTATCCAATACAAATGTATACTATAACCTTTGCTCAAATGTCCTGATATAGCTAATGTTCCTCAGGTCTGAACAGAGCTTGAAAAATAAAGATTTTAAGCAACACTTCTGTTGCTTGGAATAATCTGCTAAATATTTTAAAGTTGTCCATGCTCCCGTCACTAAATGAATTTAAAGGGTTAGTTCACCCAAAAATGAGAATTCTGTCAGTAATTACTCACCCTCATGATGTTCCAACCCCGTAAGACTTTCGTTCATCTTCGGAACACAAATTAAGATATTTTTTATTAAATCTGAGAGCTGTCTCACTCCTTAATAGGCTTCTATTGTAATTGAAACTTGCCGGCCCAGAAAGCTATTAAAGACATTGTTAAAATAGTCCAAGTGACTACAGCGGCTCAACCATAAGTTTATCAAGCGACAAGAATACTTTTTGTGCGCAAAAAAAACCCTTAAATAATAACTTTATTCAACTATTCATTTTCTTCTGTGTGGGCCTCTGAGTGAGTTCAAGTAGTATAACAGCGTAGCGCTTCTGGGTTGTACGTCAGAAGGTAGGCTCACTATTGGCCAGCATCACACACATGACCAGTGTCAGCCAATAGTTCCAGACTTAAGCAAAATACAAATAAAATAAGTCAGCACAAAACAGAAAAACTAAATGCATAGATCAGTTTTAATAAAAGTTTTCACATATGCTTTTAAACACTTACTGAGTTCCTGCTTGTGTCGCTCTGTCTGGGCAAAGTATTGTCGCAGTTCTTCTGAGATGTCCATGTTGCTGACGTCACACTCAATCTGGCTCTCATCTGAACTCTCCTCCTCCATCTCACTGTCTGAATCGGTGGCCTCATTCTCCCTTTTTTCTTCTCTACCTGTCGTTCTGTCTCTGTGATTTTTCCTCCAGCTCTTATCTGCATGCCAATCTGAGTAACGCTGCATGGTAGAGGGGCACATGGAATACAGTGCCTGGAAGTGGCCAACCTCCAAAGCTTTCCTGTATGCCTGCTTGTGCCTCTGCCGCCAGTTCATGGCCTGCTGGTAGTGCTGCCAATAACGGGTATAAACTGGATGGGCATACCACACCGGTCCATCACCCTGACTGGCCTGTAACATAACAAATGCTGTTAATGTCTTATGAGTATAGAGTGCTTGGAATTATCACTCTGTGTTAAATTTACAATCAATCATACAGCCTTGAATGACTGTATCATATTTATCAACTAATTATCGATGACATTTGGAAACATTTTACAATAAGGTCTTATTTGGTAAAATTAGTTAATGCATTAATTAACTTGAACTAACAATAAACAATATGTTAGTTAAACAATATGTTAGTTAAACCTTTGTGAATGTTAGTTAAACGCTAGCGTTAGTTCACAGTGCATTAACTAATATTAACAGATACAACTTGTCATGTGTTAGTAAATTCTGAGATTAACATTAACTAAGATTAATAAATACTGTACTATAAATATTATTCATCGTTAGTTCATGTTAACTAATAACAAATGAAACCTAATAAAGTGCTAAGATACTAGTAAATTACAGAGAAGTGTAAGACCTACCATTATGAAGAGGCGACTAGTAAATGGAATCAATTTATGTACCTGTTAGAGAGAAAGGATTATTTCAATTACGAGTAAACATTTATGTACTCATATGCAGCAGTGGACAGGAAAATAATAATTTAGCGATAACACATGTACAATTAAGTGAGTTACCTAGTAATTTCGAAGAAAGGAGCAGGAGTACTCTTTAAACAACAACATGCGTACTATAACCAATAATTAAACGTATCATGTATTAAAACGACAGCATAGTTTAGTTGTACTTCTCACCACTCATATCGTCCCCTGACATGAGCATGGAGAGATGGCAGGCTGTAGCGCACAAAAACAACTCGATTACGTCGACCACGTCGTGCCCTTTCTTTTACTGTCTATGGTCTTGCCCCATGTAAGCCCATTCTTCTTATTTAATAGCGGTTGGCAGACCAACTTAAATGGTGCATTCCCGCCACCTACTGGAGAGGAGTGTGGAGTTCTTCTTCTTCTCTAGGATTATGGCGGTTCGCAACCAGCTTTGTTCAGGTGCATACCACCACCTACTGTGCCGGAGTGTGTAATTGCAAGGTTTTAGTACTTAGTATTTTTTTTTTTTTTTTTAAACCTATATGATATGATCTAATCGTGTATATTTAAGAAATTTAAATACAGCTTTGCAGCACTCCCTTGTTTCTTCACTCATCCCTAAAATCCCTTCTAAATTCCATCCCTGTCCTAATTCATATATCTTGTCACGTAAGATGTTCCTTTCAGCATCATATTTGCTACATTCATGATGACATGCTCGACATTTTCAGGCACATTACAAACCTCACATTTATCAGACATACATTTTGCCATTAAAAACAGCGTTGATTTTAACCCAGTATGCCCAAACCTTAATCTTGAAAATATCACTTCATCTCTTCTACATTTACCTTTGAAACCCTTCACCTTAATTGATTTTTGTATGCTGTAATAATGTCTCCCTTTAGTGCCTGTGTCCCACTTCTTCTGCCATACATCACTCACTGCTTTCCTAATTAATTCTTCTTCTTCTTTAATAGCGGTTGGCAGACCAACTTAAACGGTGCATTCCCCAATACGAGTGTTCGTATTGGTCATCAGTCCTCCTCTAGTCTACCTCTAAATTGTGGAGTCCCACAGGGATCAATCCTCGGCCCGGTATTGTTTATCCTGTATATGCTACCTCTGGCCTCCATTTTTAATGAACACGGAGTATCCTTTCATTTATACGCTGATGATACTCAGATCTACTTTCCGTTAAAACATAACGACAAAAATGGTTTACAATCCCTGTTGGCCTGTTTAAATGAACTTAAGCTTTGGCTGTCAAGTAATTTTCTAAATTTAAATGAAAATAAAACCGAAATCATTTTATTTGGGCCCAGGGAAAACTGTGTTCTTGATGCTGACCGTGGTCCACTTGCACCTTGTGAAACTCAATGCGCTAGAAATCTGGGCTTTCTGTTCGATCATAACCTAAAATTTGATAAACAGATCAGTGCTGTTGTAAGATCGTGCTTTTTTCATCTTCGCCAACTTTCTAAAGTGAAACCTTTTTTAACCAAGAGTAACTTCCAAACAGTGATCCATGCTTTTGTTACATCACGTTTAGACTATTGTAATTCTCTTTATGTTGGTGTCTCTCAGTCTTCCCTCTCCCGTCTACAGCTAGTGCAAAACGCAGCTGATAGACTTCTCACTGGGACCCGTAAGTAGGCCTACGAGTCGATCACCCCGGTTTTATCATCACTGCACTGGCTACCTGTCAACTTTAGAATTGATTTTAAAATTGTATTATTTGTTTATAAAGCACTCAACAATTTGGCCCCTCAGTACCTTACTGATCTACTTCGCCCGTACACTCCCTCTAGAAGTCTGAGATCTAGCGATCAATGTCTACTCATCGTGCCTAGATCTAGAGTCTAGACTTAAAAAGCGAGGTGATCGCGCCTTCGCAACTGCGGGCCCTAAACTTTGGAACAGCCTACCTCTCCACATTAGATTAGCCTCGTCTGTTTCCTCCTTCAAATCTTCTTTAAAGACATTTATTTTCCTTGACCTTTAATACTGCTTAATTTTGGTAATTATGGTTTATCTATTGTTGTGTTTTCCTTTGTTGGTAGTTTTTATTATTATTTTGTTTTATTCCGTCCTGTACGGCACTTTGGTCAGCCTTGGTTGTTTTTAAATGTGCCTTATAAATAAATATTGTATTGTATTGTATTGTATTGTATTGTATTGTATTGTATTAATGATTTGGCCTCTCCTTTTCCAAAAGGAACTTTCATTATTTCATCATCTTTTAATTTCAATGCTGACTTTGCAATTTCATCTGCTTTCTCATTTCCCTCAACACCTACATGTGCAGGCACCCAGACAAATTGCACATCAATTCCAACTCTTTGTATTCTCAGCATTATTGTACATATTTCAATCAATAAATCATCTCTTACTGTATTTTTGGAATTCAAACTATGTAGGACGGCAGTGGAGTCTGAACAAATGACAACTCTTTCCGGTCTCACCTCTTCTATCCATTGTAACCCTAAAATAATAGCAACCATTTCTGCTGTATATACAGATAATTTATCATTAATTCTTTTACATATAACTACATCAAACTCAGGTATATATGCTCCTGATCCTACATGTTCAGTCTCTGGATCTTTTGATCCGTCAGTAAATATGAGCATATAATTATAATAATTAATCTTCACATAATCTCGAACCAAATATACAATATTATCTACATTACTTTCACTCCATTCTTTCTTCTTCTCAAGAAGCTTCAAGTCCACATTGAGCACAGGATAAATCCATGGAGGAACATTACCCCATACAGTAGCTGGGCCATATTCTATGCTATTTAATCCATATTCTTCTGCTACTACATTAATATTCCAGCCAAATCCCTTACCTTTCATTTGTCGTGTATATTCCCAACAGTCACACAGAACCTTTGTTGCAGGTTGTTCCTCTCCAGATCCTTTTAACTTGATCCAATATGCTAAAGACAACTTAGAACGTCTTAAATATAATGGCAATTCATCCGCTTCTACCAGCAGAGCATTGGTAGGGTTGTTTTCACTGCACCTATACTGAGTCTTAGAGCTCTGAACTGTATTCTATCTAGTTTTTCTAAAATACTCTTGGCTGCTGCTCCATATACCATGCATCCATAATCAATACATGATCTTATTAATGCCCTATAAATATCTAGTAATGATTGTTTATCTGCTCCCCATTGATAACCAGAAACTGATCTCATGATATTCAGTATCTTTTTATTTCAACCTGCTTAACATGATTCTTCCATACACATTTCTCATCAAACCACAATCCTAGATATTTGTGTCATGAATCGGGCTCCTTCCTCTGTTTCTTTTCTTTCTCTCTTACTCCCTCTCCTGGTCTTTTTTCACCTTTCACCCTTTCCCATTTTCTCTCCTCTCGCTCAGCTGTTCCATATCGCATTATCTCATTAACGCTCACACCTGTTCTCTCTTCCTTCTGATTTCTCACCCTATTTCTTCTCTCTCTTTTCTTTTGTTCCCCGCCAGAGTATTATCTGATGTGTGTTACGTACCTGATGTTTCTCTATCGTTTTCCAGTCCAGTCGTGTCAAGTGTGGTATGTGCTGTCTCCTGATTATTATCATTGAACATCATCTGCTTGCCCTGTCTCTGGCTGTCCAACACAGTAGGCTACTGTTGTCTGAAGCCGTTCATCTGCTACCCGGACGCTTCTCCGCATCCTCCGGGATATTCCTGAGCCATACGTGCCGACACTCTTCAGTTGTCATTTTTCTAAGAAGCTTTCTGTTTGTACTGTTTTGCCAGTCGGCACCTGTTGCCTGATTTTTTTTTTTTTTTTTGCCAAGCGGCCCTTCTGAGTTATTAAAGAGACATTTAATCTGCCTTTGCGTTTGGGTTCTCTCTCTCCTCATTCGTCATGACAATTTGAACTCTTTCACTCTTTCCATATTTTGTCCATATAATTTAAGCTGTACATTATTAATCCTTCTCTTTCTTGTAAAGAACATATAGCATGACTTTGCTACTGACATCTTAAAACCCCAATTATAGGACCATCTTTCCATCTCTTTCTATTAGTCACATGTTTGATGCTTTTCCCTCTTTTCCATATAGCCCCATCATCTGCATAAAGTGATGACCCAATATCTTTACCAACATTTATAAAAATATAATTTATCATGATGTTAAACAAAATAGGGCTTATAGCGCTCCCTTGAGGAATACCATTTACAATATCAAAATACTCCGACACAGCATCTCCAACCTTTACACGGAATGTTCGGTTAGACATGAAGTCTAAAACCCAGTTGTATATCCTTCCGTCAATACCCATTTCATACATTTTAATCAATAGTCCTTCTCTCCACATTGAATCATAAGCTTTTTCTATATCAAAATATACTATAACCATGACCTCTTTCATACTAATCGCCTTTTCTGCCTCATTGCTAACTTTTACCAAAGCGTCTATCGTAGATCTTCCTTTACGAAATCCACTTTGGTATTTGTTTAGCAATCCTCTTTGCTCTAAATAATGACAATCTGCAGACAATTATCTTTTCCATCCATTTACACAAGTGTGATGTTAAAGGTCTGTAGTTTCCTGCATTAGTTGTATCTTTCCCAGGTTTACCAAACGGAAGTATCAATGCACTTTTCCAACTATTAGGCATTACACTTTCTCTCCAAATCTTATTAAATAGTTTTAGTATAATTTCTAAAACTTCTATTGGTAATTGTCTAAACATAGCATAGCATAGTTGATCTTGTCCTGGAGCTGTATATCCACTTCCCTCAAGTCCCATTTTTAACTCCTGTAATGAAAAGTCCATGTCAAGTGCAGATTCATCACTATCTTTTTTCTTATTTACATGACTATTTATTCTTAAAATATCCTCTTTTCGTTGTTTATGTATTTCATCTAAATGATTCCCACTATGCACACTTGCAAACTTCTTACCTAGCTCAGCTTTCTCCTTGTTTGTAATTGCCAGATGTTCTCCATCCACGAGCACTGGGATTTTAACAGATTTCCTTTTCCCACTCATCTTTTTGATCATTGCCCAAATGTCACCCAATTTAACTTCTCTACCAATGGAGGAGCAGAATTGCCTCCATGCATTCTTCTTGGATGACTTAATTATTTTCCGTGCCATAGCTCTCTTTCTTTGATAGTTGATCAGATTATCTTGACTCAGAGTCTTTCTTAAAATTCTGAATGCATGATTTCTGTTTTTTATAGCATTTTTACATTCATCATTCCACCATGGAA